TTGAACCGCTGTTTCTTGTGTCTGCTACATTGGCAGGTGGATTCTTTACCACTAGCGCCACCTACAAAGCCTGTAAATCAACTATACTTCAATCTTAAACATAATGATTTAAAAAAAAACAAGTAAGACTTGTGAGGTGCTTTGTAATACCAGCTCTGCTTTCTAATATGAGTGACAGAAGACATTCAAGCAGTTGAGGTAAATGGGAAGAAAATTGGTTCATTGGGTCTGAGTGATTTATTTACTTTTATTGACAGATCTGCAGCATTCCGGTTTCATGTTGTATTTTGAGATATCTCCTTAAGCGGACTTAGCCTTGATCATGAAGTAGTCCCAACAACCTTTTTTTTTAAAAATGATCATCTTCTTATCTATACTGTGAAAAAGCCTTGAGCCCTACCATCCTTGAAAAGTAGTGAAGTTGGCATGTTTGCTTTCCGCATTTGACTAAGAGTAAACCCTTTCCTGTTTTAGAATGAATTTTGTTAGTGAGTCCAGCAGGACACAAAAAATAAAAGTGCTCTGAAGCTCTACCGTATTCTGTGTGGCAGTACGTTACCACCTTTGTGACACCAGTCTCCACCTATGGGAGCTGCCGTCTCTCCAGTGGGTCTGTCCTTACAGAGGCGGCGGCCCCTTACCTAACAGGGCTTAACTCCCTATGAAGCTTTAACAAGGGGAGGGGTGTGACCCCAGTGACACAGTGACAGAAATCTTCCCCGACGTAAATTGAACATTACCCTCTAGAGCTAAAGAAAGCTCTATTTCCTTGGGTTCTTTGCTTCTTTTTAGTTCAAGCTAATATAATAATTTTTTATGAAAATATTAATGCTGTTTACATTCCTGGAGCCATTCAAGATTCTGGAGTTCCCATTCAAAGTTCAGGGCCTCAAAGTCATGGCATAAAAAAAGGTCAGTGTCAAGAATGTGGCCATGGAGAGGTATCCCAACCATAGGAAAATATTGGTTTCTTTTGAATGCTTAAAAAAAAAAAAAAAAGTTTCTCAGCAGCATATCCATTAACGTATTGCCCAGTTCCAGACTTTCGCTTTTTACAAACCTTTTTTGTTGGTGGTCCATTCATATCATTTGCTGTGAAGAGACTTAACTGGGCCTAATTGGCCTCTTGTTTTTAGAGATGATACTACTTACTTATCTGACATTCGGTTACCGATTCAGATAATGCCGTGTTACTTTCAGGTGCACGACAAAGTGATCCGGTTGTACATACGTGTTGTCCAGTTGCTCAGTCATGTCTGAGTATTTTGTGACCCCGTGGGCTGCACCTGCCAGGCCCCACTGTCCATGGGGTTCCCAGGCCAGAACACTGCAGAAGCTTGCCGTTTCCTTCTGCAGGGGATCTTCCTGACCAAGGAGAGAGCCATGTCTCCTCCATCGGCAGGCGGATTCTTTGCCACCGGCTCACCAGGGAAACGCATACATACATACGTGTGTGTGTGTGTGTGTGTGTGAGACACAGGGCGAGACTCTTTTTCAGATTCTTTTCCTATATAGGTTATCACAAACAGTGATACCATCAGTTATCTGACGGTTATCTGACGGTCAGTTATAACTGACTGTTATACTGTCAGTCATCCTCGCTGATTATCTGTTTAATAGTGTGTGTACATTAGTCCCCAAATCCTAATTCATCCCCTCCGCTCCCCCTTTCATTCGTTTCCTACATCAGTGTTTCTGTATCTCTTTTGTATATACGTTGGACCTAGAGATTATCATACTGAGTGAAGTAAACCAAGGAAAAACATATGATACTGTTTATATGTGGAATCTAAAAACAATGAACTAATTTCAGACAACTTTTAAACATGAGTCTCCTGTTTGTATCATCCATGCTCTTCACAAATTCTGACTACGTTAGCAAAAATCTCTCAACTCAACCAGTATTTTCTCTTCTGTGAAGTAAGATACTGTAATAGAAAATGCACCAAACCTAGAAAGTTAGAACTCCCTACCAAAAACCGTCAGTCATGAAATAAGAGAACTTAAAATGTCATTTAGGGACTTCCTTGGGGGTCCAGTGGCTAAGTCTGCCTTGCAGTGCAGGAGATGTATGTTCCATCCCAGGTCTGGGGACTAAGATCCCACATGTCACAGAGCAGCTCAGCCCTTGCACTCGGAGCCAACCAAGACCCCGTGCAGCCAAATTTTTTTTAAATGTCAATTAACCTCTGAGCTTTAGTGTCCCCACTTCACAGATGGGAAAATAATAGTGTGTTCCTGATGCTCTTAGGATGGTTTGTCAGTCCAATAAGGAAAGTGTACCTAAAAGCATGTTGTATTATTTACTTATTTGTTGAGTATAACTGTTGATGCGTCTAAAATGCAAAGCCATGCTTCAAATATTATGTCTTTATTCAATGCTAAGGCCACCTGGAAACATTTTTACTGGGAGCTAAGCCCCAGTGAATTTGATACAGGCATTAACTTAGACAACCTACAAGAATGAATGGTTATCATATCCTTCAAATATCTCATTTAGTATCAACTTTCTCTTCTGAAATTTTGATAGACGAGCTAATCAACTGAAGATAGAGGCCTGGGTGAATGCCTGCTGTGCTGAGATGCGGAAATGACTCCTGTCGGCCTGGGTACTTTAGAATTGAGGACTGGCAGGGTATGAAATTGACAACCTGCAGTGAAAATTTTAAAACACATAGACTCTTTCTCAGATTCACTGTTTCTCTTATTAAATGTGAGTCTCAGAGGTATCTTTTTTGTCGCCAAAAGTTTTGGATCTGTTGAAAAGCCTGGGTAGGTATTAGATTGAGTCCCTTGAGTTCCACACTAACTGCAAGGCAGAAATATTTTTGGTCTGGCAATTTCAAGGCAGGTTTTACCAGTTGGTTGTCTGAAACATGGAAAAACCTCCTTCTGGCCTTTTAAAAATGCCTGATTTGACTGGTACTACCTCCTAATGCGCCCGCCAGGGAGAATTAGTTTCAGACTGCAGTTACAGTAAGTGGGCTGAATGAAGTTCCTGGGTGAAATTAGGAATGTATACTTATATATTGAAAAAGAAAATGTCTACCCAAAACCTAACCGAAACAGCAATATTGGTTCTGGCTTCATTAAAACTGAACTGCCCTTTGGTCTTCTTTTGTTTTCTTATGGTATTTGGCCAATGGGTTCAGCTGCTTGTGTTGGAATTTGTGGTTCACAACAGTTAAGATCAAGGCATAGGAAGTCCTTTATAAAATAGTCTTATAGCAATGAAGCCAAGATGTTATCATGTGCAGGAGTGGTATGAATGTAACCAAAGACTAGAAAATAGGTGTGTGTCCTGCTTTCTGAAATATAGGTTTTCCTCACTTTGAAAAATCCAGAAAAGCTGGATTTAAGTCAAATTGAATTTTCTGGTGGTCTTCCATGGTTAAAAAAGCAGTGTGGTTATTAGGAAAATAAACCCTCCAGTGAATTACAGTATTAGTTCAAGTGTAAAACAGATAATGCGGATTCTTCAGTGTTCCTGAGAACTTGAGGGTCACGTCTCCTTTGAAAATCTTACACAGACTGTGTCTCACCTAGAAAAGTGAATAAAGTTCATAGTGCACAACTTGGGTTGTATCAGTAATTCTGCAGGTGTTTGATACAGTGATTCTGGGATCACTGATGGATCCCAGCCCTCCTGGGTCCTCATGGTGTTTATCTTTAGAATCACCTGGAAGATCTTTTCATTTCTCTCTATCACTTTACAACTTTCCCTTTTCCTATAGACAAATCCTAGCAAATCTGGTGTGAGTTCTTGCTGACCATCCTCCCTACCCTTGGCCAATGTGTCTCTGAATAAAGTGCAGAAAATTGCAGATGGTGACCAGAAATGGCAGGAGGGGGACCATCATTCACTGGGCGTCTGCCCTGGGCAGGAAGCGTGCTGAGCGCTTTACACACAACACTCACTTCCGCACATCGCTTTGAGATGTCTGGGGTGGGTGCTGAGCACCCTGGAGCAGCCCACTAGCTCAGAGGAAGCAAAGGATGCTGCATTTAAGAGGTACCAGAGTTGATGGACCTACATGTCTAATTTTGTCCAAGAACTCTCAAATCACTGGTTAAGAATGTCAAAGATAAATATCATATGATATCATTTATGTGTGTAATCTTTTAAAAAATGATACAAATGAACTTATTTACAAAACAGAAAGAGATTCACAGACGTAGAAAACAAGTTTATGGTTACCAAGACAGAAAGGGGCGGACAGGGCTAAATTAGGAGTTTACTCATTTACACCACTATATATAAACTAGAAAAACAACAAGGACCTACTGGATAGCACAGGGTGGTCTGCTTAATGGTTTGTGATAATCTTTAAGGGAAAATAACCTAAAAAGAAATATATGCGTATGTATGGGTGTGTGCCTGCTCAGACGCTTCAGTCGTGTCCAACTCTTTGCAACCCCATGGACTGTAGCCCACTAGGCTCCTCTGTCCATGGGGATTCTCCAGGCAAGAATACTGGAGGGTTGCCATGCCCTCCTCCAGGGGATCTTCTCCACCCAGGGATCAAACCCACGTCTCCTGTGGCTTTTGCATTGCAGGCAGATTCTTTACCATGAGCCACTGGAGAAGCCCCAAGTGTCTGTGTGTGTGTGTGTGTGTGTGTGTGTGTGTGTGTGTGTGTGTATTGCGTTTGCCTAAAAGTTCCAGGATGAACTTTTAGGCCAACCCTAACGTGTAGAGCTCAATCACTTTTTATCCACCTGAAACATTATACATCAACAATATTTCAATAAAAAATAATAATAAAGGTATACAATTAAAACAACAACAACAACAGACTGTGTCTCTCCAGGTCTCCTCAGAATGAGGATGGCTTTAGATCAGGTGCTCCGTTCCTCGGTCACCCTTCGGGCTTGGCTGGAATTGGAGGCCAAGCCGTCTTCCGGACCTTCTGACTGAGAAACGTCCCTTCCCTTCCGCGCTCTGAGATCGCGGCCCTGCTGGCCTGACCGCTGCCTTCCGCTCTGCTTTGTCCCCGCAGGTAACCACGCTGACTCAGGAGGTCTCCCAGCTCGGCAGGGACATGAAGACGGTGATGCAGCTTCTCGAGCACGTCCTGTCGCCGCAGCAGCAGTCCCGGCTTTGCTCTCTGCACACCGCCTCTCTGTGTCCCTCCGGTTTCCAGGGCAGGACGGCCTGGAGCACGCACCAGCCCTGTCTGCACTCGCAAGCCGCCGGCGCCGCGCACAGCCCAGCCCCGCTGTGCCAGGGGAGCGTCACCCCCGACAGATGGAGCGCGGGGCCCTCCTCGGCGGGCGGCAGCCCCCAGCAGACGGGCGCCCAGGAGCAGAGTCCGGCGGGCGGGGAGCTCCGCGCCTCCCCGAGCCTGGACCACGCGCCTGCCCACTGCCCGGTGGTCCAGGAAGGTCGCCTGCAGTTTCTCAGGTGCGTCTCCCCGCAGTCGGACACGACGCTGACGCCGCTGCAGTCCATCTCGGCCACCCTCTCCTCCTCCGTCTGCTCCTCCTCAGAGACGTCTTTGCACCTGGTTCTCCCCAGCAGATCGGAGGAGGGCAGCTTGGGCCAGGGCGCTGTGAGCTCCTTCAGTCTGGAAAACCTGCCGGGATCTTGGGAGCGGGAAGGACGGGCATCCGTCTCCACCGAAGCCCTGGAGAACTTTCCCCTGGAAATGGTCGCAAGCACAGCAGAAGTGAAAGATGACGGAGCCGTGCGCGTATGATGGCAGAGCACCTGGGCGGTGCCCGCCTCCGCCCGTCGCCGCGGGATGCCAGCCCGGGGTGGCCTCGCTTGCCCCTGGCAGCGTGAAGACGGGGCCGAGCCCTGGAAAACGGGCCCCAGGGCTGGAGAACCACCTCCATCCCGCAGCAGACCCTTCCTACATCCTAGCGACAAAAGTAGGGCCCATTACCTGCGCAGGTATTAACTTACTGGTCTGTTCGACAGACTTTGGTGAAAGTCCAAAGACCCTGCGGGTCTGAGCAGCTACAAGTCCCAGACGAAGAGAGTGTGGACTCGAGTCCTAGGTGGCTTTTCAGAGGAGCAGCCAAGGTTTTTCCTGAGTGCCTGCGTGGCCCTCCTGAACAATATCCACATTGTGGGCTCTGGGAGTACACAGCTCCTGCTGATCTGTTTTTCAAAAATAGAAGGCGAGTGAACAATTATCACTGCATGTCATCTCCTAGACAATCAGCCACACAGAGCCGGTGGCCAGCGGTCAGCTATTGCACGTTGTTTGCCATGTAAATGAATGTCTTTATTTATCAAAAAAAAAAAGAGAGAGAGGCTATTTTTATATCCTTGGTATGAAATATGTATTTAAACTATTTAAACTATTTATAAAGAAATGAATGTTTTCTTTTCATTTTGGTAAAAAAAAAAAAAGCTTGCTGTTTTAACAAGAAATGCACTACTGTTATGTCTAGTAGATCAAAAATTATTATTAAGAGGATGTAGTTTTGAAAGGAAGCCCCCCCCCCTTTTATCTGCATGCAGTTTGCAACAAATGTATCCTCATGCTTCTGGATTACAAAAGAAAAGTGAGGTCATATTTTATTAATGAAATAAAAACCCGGCCAGAGTGTCTGGCATGGTGGGGGGTGGGGGTGGAATCCACTCGAGCTCTGGGGACTCCTATAGAATCCGGACTTGAGGCTACCCCCACCATGCCCACATAAATGTTTCTCCTCCAGCCATCGTAAGTGTGGTTCTGAAACCCAAAATTGGTCTGGGGAATATGAAACCGCAACTACATTGAACTATTTTGGCCTCAAAATGAGGAAGAAAACCTTGAGTGTGTTCTTCCTCTGTGCTTATCTTTCAGGGGAGCTTGTGTAGACCAGTGAACATTCCAAAATGAAGCCAGAACTTCTGAACTCTAACTTGTAAACAGGCTGCCAGCTTGCTTTGGATCAGCACTTTCATTTTTTTTCTTGAAAGCTCTCAACAGTGCTGTAAGTTATGAAGAGCAGGTGTTTTCATTCTCCTTTTGCAGAGAGAAAAAAAAAAATAAAGCCCCAGCAATTATACAGCTAGGATGCTGGAGACAGTCTAGAACCCATAATGCTTTCTACACCTCAACCAATATCCAAATTCAGATGCTGGCATGGTAATAATTTAAATGCCTTCACTTCAGGTTTATTATGGTTAAGAATGTGTAGGGCCTCATCATTTAAGATGTTCTTAGAGAATATACTGAATTCACTTTCTGGAGTCCCCTGTTCCCATTTCCCACTGCAAAGAATAACTAATTTGAAAATTGTGTTATTAAAGACATCTACACAAAGCAAGACTTCTGGTGTGTGACTCTTATACCCTAAAACTGGATAGAGCAGCAGAAAGAAAGCTTTTCTGAGAAAAGTGAAAGCCATACATGTGTCTGAGGCAGGTCATTTAAGAGTCTATCTTCTATTCCCCCAGTTCCCAAGTTCAATCTCTCCTTACCCAAGTGAATGGGGAAACTGAGGCAGAGGCAACATGCAGGACTTAACACATGTATTTGTAGCCACACTTTTTGCTCATCCTGACCTACACCATCATTTTAAGTACCATTCCAAAAGAACTAACTGGTATTGGTTCTGCTGTCTTTCTGGAAAACTATCACGGCTATCACAGGCTAATAATAAAGTCCGACATTCTGATCTGTGAGTACTGACTATATATCAACACATTTAAGGAGTAACACCTTATGTTTCCTTACACAACAGTCAACAATGCTAAAGCTATTATTTTATTCCCATTTTGTAAATGAATAATTGGGACACAGATTTTTTTAAACTGCCCAGTCACACTGCTTTAAATAACAGCCCCAGTACCCCCGTGGACACCCTGGGTACCCCTCCTTTCATGTCCAAATCTATTCCTGCTGCCTCTTGAAGTTGCACTCGTCATTAATTTCCCTTGAAATCCATGAATAAAATAAAATATTTGGTTTGGGTGGTTTTTTTTAAGCACACCTATGGGATAAATTGGGCTTCCCAGGTGGCACTAGTGGTAAAGAACCTGCCTGCCAATGCAGGAGACGTGAGATGCAGGTTGGATCCCCGGGTTGGGAAGATCCCCTGGAGGAGGGCATGGCAACCCACTCCAGTACTCTTGTCTGGAGAATCCCATGGACAGAGGAGTCTGGCGGGCTACAGTCCATGGGGTCACAGAGAGTCAGGCTGAAGGGACTGAGCATGCATTCATAGGACAAGTCAGTCAAGCTCTGGGGATTTGGGAAAGTCCTAGTGACATGCCTAGAAATATGCCCATGATTTTCCATCCAGTCACCTTCTGTGTGCCTACTCCTGACAGCTGACTTAGTGGGTGTCAGACCCAGCTGCCCACGGTGGGCAGGTCTGCAGCTGGACGGGAATGAGCAAGCACCTGAAAAAGGGTGAAAGCTGAAAAAGGGCCCCTGCCTCCTGTGAATCAGCCCCACTCTATCCCTTATTAACCTTTCCCCTCATCACCATCAGGCTTCCATCGTAGCTCAGTTGGTAAAGAATCTGATGGCAACGCAGGAGACCTGGGTTTGATCCCTGGGTCGGGAAGACCCCCTGGAGAAGGAAATGGCAACCCACTCCAGTGTTCGTGCCTGGAAAATCCCATGGACAGAGGATCCTGGCAGGCTACAGTCCATGGGGTCACAGAGTCGGACACGACTTCGTGACTAAACCACCAACGTCACCATTATGCTGACAAACAGGACTCTCCCACATCCAGAGCAGCTCAGAATGACACAGTTTGGGTTTCCTCTGTATGGTTGTGTGTGTGGTGATATTCTAGGAGCTGAGACTTCCGAGTTCCTCTAGATGTTTGGTTCTCTGAACACCAGGACTGTGCAAGCGACAGAGGCCCGCAGGGCCCCACGAGACATGTGTTTGTATCCCCACCTTTTCCTCTCCTCCCCACTCTGCCCAAGAAGCAACACTGGGACCTAGAAAGAAGAGAAGCACAGATGTTCTCGGTCAAGTGTATTTTCTTTAAAATAGTACTGGGGACTAAAGTCTTCTTGTAGTTCTATTTAAGAGAACCAGGCAGATTATATTAGACTTTATTTTGATACAATGTAAGAAGACATTTCTGGCAATTTAAGTTACTTACAAATGGAGTTTATTGTGGAAGAGGCAATAAAAATCGGAAATAAATTGTCCTTTCAGAGGTTGCATAACTATCTAACAGGAATATTGTTTTCCAGAGGGTTCTGTATGAGGTGGGAATCTAGCAGAATACCTACATCAGGATCACATGAGGTAGTTGTTTGAAATGCCAGAAGAATCTGGCTTCAACCCAGTCCCTCTGAATGGGGTCTGGGAATCAGCCATTTAGTAAACATGCATTAAAGACTGGAAATTATTTGTCTAGAGTCCATTATAGTACAAGATTGCGTCCTAGCTAATTTATAAACAAGTGGGCCAGCATCTAGATTTCATTAACGACAGCCTCGGGTCTATAATTGTGTAATAGAGAGGCTTGGTTAACACCTGTATCAGGAGTTCTCAGATTTCAGTTTGAATAATATATTTCTGGGTGTTGCACAGTGAGGCCAAACAATACTGAAACACTGGCGTCTGGAAACCAGGAAAGTTTATTACAAGGTCATGCTCACGGCTAAAGAACCCCAAAGTTACTGAAAGCTTTCAGCAAAGCCCGTTTAAAGCAAAAGTGAGGCGGGGGGGCACGGATAGTTGTTGCAAACGTCTTGGCGTCAGAGCCTTTCTTCTTGAAGTCAGGTCGTGGTCCGGTAAGGACGTCCCTGTAAGTCTCTACCAAATGAACGTGCCGCTCTGCCCTGACAAGGAAGGGCTAGGACCCGGTCCTGGCTGAGAGGAGGCAGATCTCAGACGCCAGCTCCGCCGGGGCCGGGTTCCCGCAGGCTGCCCACATGGGGGGAGGACCAGGTCCCACAGACTGTCACCCAGGAAGACGGCCACCGCTATTAGGTTGCAGAAACAGGGGTGGGGAAGAGGTTCATCGCTGCCTCAAGGCCTGGGCCCGCTGGGGGTCCTTGGTGAGGCTCTGGAGCCCCGCAGAGCACTGCCCCAGGCTGTTGGCCCCCAGCGCCGCTGGCCCAAGTTGAGGTGAGCTGGAGCGCCTCCGGGAGGAAGCCTGAAGCTGCCTCTAAGTCTCCACCTGATGACCAGCTCTGTGAGGCATCCCCTCACTCACAGCCCTCCTTGTTACCTGGAGGCAGGCCCGCTGCGGCCCCACCCACAGCTGAGAAGGATGGAACCCGCTGCTGGACCTCTGCTTGCTTGTGGGTGGGGCCCGGTGAAGCGCTGGCCAATGGCTGCGCAGGGCGTGTTGCCTGGCAACAGTGGGGCGTGATGCGGCCCCAAGACTGAGTGCAGAAGGCTGTGCTCACCACAGTCTGCTACGTGGGGGCCTCTCATCAAAACAGAGATTTCAGTCCTGACGTCTCAGATGAGCGCTGGGTCCCGAGTGTTTCCGATATCGATGGTCCAGGGAGCACATTCTAGAAACACGGCACCAGCAGTGTCAACAGTGAGGAGTTAGACCAATTAGAATCAAACCGGTTACAGCTGACAGCTGCATGTAATACTGTTTCCATTTGTTCTACCACATCCATGATTTTTTTCATGAGCGTGATGGATCATCTGCTCCAAGAGACCTTCGAAGGTTCACTCGCTACTTAAATCCTAGTGTTTGACTGCCTGCTGTGCGTTGTGCACCAGCACCACTGCATTTGTTGTACATCCTTTTGTTTTGGAACGAAGAGCTGTTTTATTTAACGGAGATGTAATTTACATATAACATTCAGTTCAGTT